GTCGATTAGGATGAAAATGTCAAAATATCTAAAACATCATGATAGGATACCTAAACATGTATTTTATCAACTAGTGAAGTCTTTTTTTACGGAAAAAATAGACTTTAGAGAAAGGATGTGAGATTTCATTGGATGTTTACACCAGGTTACCATGGAAACGAGCTTCAAAAATCCTCTAAAAAAGTCGTTTTACTGTGCGATTTCAATGTAAAAATTTTATACAGGGCTACCTATGCCAATGGTGTGTATTATGGATATGAGAGGCACATAGGGACATGCTACAATTGCATAATTTTGTTATTTACATAATTTTACTCATTTACATGAGCTTTGAGAATATATTCCGCTAAATTTTCTATTTTGTCGCTATATTTTGTTGCATTTTTGGTTTGTAATAATGCCAAAAGGTTCCAAAGAAGCAACAAACTTTCGTGTGAGAAACAAATCAAAGAAAAAGCCCGTTTCAAAGGGAAACGATTCTCTGATTTTTGCGAAGATGGCGATGTTTTGAAGGAAAGTTCATGGCTCTCAAATCTAACACCCGATCTGGATCAGAAGAGTAAAATGAAGACTAATATGACGACGATTTATTGAATAAAACTGATGAGAAGTCAACATCGGCAAAGAAACTGGGGAAAGCTAATTTAAAATCACCTCAAATTACTCCTGAAATTGAAGGGATATTATAAAGTTCAAGGCAAACTTCACAAGGACAAGAAGGATATCGGATTGTTTGTATTGAAAACATTAGGAAAACTGTTGAGAACATGCATAAGTGCAAAAATGAAAACATTATAACTTCTGAAGATGCTGCAAAACGTGCTGGACTGAGCAGTACTTAGTTTATTATTTTGAGTGCAGAGGATTGACATGGATACATAGAAGCCAGTTGAGGGAAAGGCATGTTCTTTTGATGTAGAACTAATTTTCCTATGGGTGAGCTGGGCTTAGGTTGGGAAATTCTTTCAACTATTTGTGACATTTTGAACATTGGCCCTCCAGTTTATAGTGACCAGTTTATAGTGATAGTGCTTACCAAAAACACAATCAATCGGTGAATCTAGCAACAAGAAAAGTCTTGGAAGAAAGATTGAACATTGGCGCGGCTGGTCGACTTGATGTAATAAAAGAGCTGAATATGCCTGCTGGTTTTTATACAAAAACTGGAAGTGGGAGAAAGAATGACAAGAGAGTAAAACAAGCAAATGCAAGGGCCCAGATGAAGTTCAAGGAAGCAAGACAGAAGATTCAACAGGCAAAATTGTCGGAAGAGGCAAGATCGAAGGCACGGAAAGGAGTAACATATGAGAAGGATTGTTTTAGTGGTTCAACCTAAGAGAAAGAGGCTGACAAGGAAAAGTAGTGGTAAAAAGGGCAAAAGCAAGCTGCCAAGAAAAGAATAGAGCCTCAAACACTCTTATAACACTCAAACAACAAGTTCCAACGGAAATTAAACTTTAACTGTCTATTTCTCAAAATGTGATATTTGGCCGCACGTCAACTGCCCCCCCTAGCTTTTCTTGTTACTGTTTTAATGGAAATTTCCCATTTTTGGCACAGATGTAGTTTAAGGTATGTAGAATGCAACTATGAGCCATTTTTGTTATATTTATTTTCTAACAGGATTTATAGTGAAAAGTGTATATGCAATCTGTTTTATCCGTTACCATAGCAACCATGGTGAATTACAAAAAAATGGCTCATAGGAGCATAGTTCAATATCTTAGCTACCACAAGGTGCATTTTCACGTAGATACATCACATATTATGTGAAATTTTATGGGGGGGCAAAAGTGGCCTGTAAAATCCAGTTTTCCATATACTATCGCTTCTTTGGTGTCAAATTTCAGTCCGATACACCGAACCGGAAGATTTTTTGTCTCAGCTGATAGCTGAAGATCTCTAGTTTCTAAAAATATATAGTTTATGCATATTTTGCTTAAAAATATGCCTCCTAACAATTGTTAAAGTTTTGTCCATTTTGAAGTACGATTGGGGTGAAGCTCCCCCTTAAATCTGGGGGTGTCGATAATTTCCATGGCTTTAGTTGTCGTGTTACATGGTATCATTTTACTGTTTCTATTGTTGCAAAGTCTGTTTATGTTTATGTACGACTTTTTACCCTCATTATCTTTATTATCCGCAAGACTTTTATCCTGGGGTTCTCCGTTTCCTTTCTGTTGAATAGCGATAACTCTGCAGTTGATATCTCTTCGCTTGTAATAGGAGCATGATGTCGGTCTTGAGGAGTGCTTACTGTGACAGGACTTGTCGGATTTGTTACCTTAATCTCCGGTGGAATTTCCGCCCGCAGAGTCTCGGTGGTAAAATTTCGCTGTGTTGCTTTACAAAATTGTCATGTAACGATAAAACTTGGCCCTTTAAAGATTCATTCTGAATTTCTAGCTCTTTGACTTTTTTAACGAGGTTGCCTTTCTCTTCAAGTAACGATCCAACTCTGCCACGTAGGCTAGCTTAATTAACTCAGACTCAGCCTTGCTAACTTTCGTGCTAAATTCATCTCTAAGTTGGTTGATTTCGTTCCTTACAACGGTCAATTCATGCTTTAGGTGGCTGTTCAAAGTGCTTGGTAAATCCGCGTTTATATGTGCTTCCGCTAGTCTATCATGTAAGATGTTTATTTCAAAATCCGACAAGGCCCGCGCCAAATCTTTGTCTAGTTTGTTGATAAAATTTTCACGTGCATCAACACGCTTATTAATTTCATTTAAGTGATCTATAATTTTGCCTAGTTCTAAACTTTGGTCACTGGAAACTGTTGACTTGACCTTCTTCTGTACAGAATTTTTGAGTGGTGACTTGTTATTACATTTTGAAAATTTATTTGAAGTATGGCGTGGTTTTAGGGGAGATGAAACTCCGGTTTTTCTAGTAAATGGAGTTGTTTGAACGTCGTTAGAATCTATGCTCTCAACATCGGACACAACGTACCCGTCTAACGAAACTCCGTCTAGGTTTAACATTGCGGTCGACTTTGTCGCATTATATCATCGTTACAATGAAACACCTTCGTGTAGAGATCGCTTGCAGTTGGGTTCGTCAGTTCTCCTGTTGTGCAGAATTCCGATACCAAATCTTGTAGCTTAATAAATTCTGCTTTTTCCAGAATTTCCTGTATCGTCCTTGGATAGTTAACTTCATTCTTGGTATATCAACATATATTGAGAAAAGCGGATCAGTATCGCTTTGACTGGCAAATAATTCGTCTTCTTCTTCGTCATAACGTAATAATAATATCGACTAAGTTGCCTTCCAAATTGAGTTAATTTCTGTTTCCAATTTACGTTGTACTCATCCTGATTCCCGAAGTCAATCCAATATCGCAGTTCCAAGCATTTTAGCCAATTATCAAAACGAATTTTATCATGGCATTGGATGCATATTTCACGTTTCAATGATTTTGCGGTTTCAAAGCGCTCTTGCTTTATAACTTCACTTAAGTGCTGCGCATCGTCATGAATATTTGACTGCTCGTTTTCTGAGATTTCGCTTTCCATAACTGCGTCTTGTAAACTCATATTTATGACAAGAAACCTTGTAAATATTGTAAAAAGCTAACCGGCGGCAGGACAAAATTTTTGTCTTGTTGCTGCCATGATTAAGTGTTTTGTTATATAGGATATAAGTGTCAAAGTATGAATAATTCACCGGCTATTGGAGTGAACTTAATTTGAAACCAAAACTGGATAAATGGAACGCCGTAAATGTTTAGTAAAAAGTTTAAAAAATGAACGGTTGACACACATGGTTGACACGCATGCGTATTGCACCCATTTTATTATTGACCGGTCAATAAATGTTTCATTGCGGACCGGTTGCCGAACATGACGTTTTGTGGACCGGCATGTGACACGGTTTTGACCAATCGGCAAACAGAAAAATTGAACTTTGACACTAACTATATAACAACAATATTTAGAAAACAGTACGTCTTATAATGCTTGTATCATGCATAGCCATAACATAATGAAACAGATGATCTAACTTGAAAAATATATGAAAAAATGATTGATTTTATATAAGTCATCCATGAAATCCTGTCTTAAAGTTGCAAACATTGTATTTCTGTATGTCATCACATAATGTTGTTCATCTCCAACTTCATTCAGATCACAATGTCTGCACACTCTATCACAGTAAGGAATATTTTTATATCTGCCAGTTTCAACTGGTAATCTTTGCGCAGAAATTCTTAATTTTGTAACAGCTTGGCGGTGTTTAACTTCTATTTCATTGATTTGATTGGCAAATTTTCAAAATTTGAACATTTTTGTGTAAAAAATTGTAAGCTCGTATCAGCAGTATCACCTGATCAGCAGTATCATGCACCCGTTTGAAATTTCCGGAAAAGTGAAGAGTAATTCCAAGGTAACAATCACTGAGTTGTATAATGGTAACAATTAATACTAGCTCCACCTGTTCTATAGGGGATTTTCTTCGTATAACCAAGCTGACGTTAAGTATGCACGCCTTTGGATCGGTGTTCCAAAAAATACTTTGCATTTTCCATTTCTTTGTATATATTTCAAGTTTTGATAGACACTCTTGTAAATCTGTTTGCGATTCGGACAACAGGACTAAATCGTCCGCATAAAGTAAACTGTTCAAATCTGTATTACCAAGTTTTACTGGATCACATGCCTGGTTAGTTTTAAACAAATCAGGTATATCATTTAAAAACATGTTGAAAACAGTAGGAATAAGATTACAGCCTTATTTAACACCAACATCAGAGTTGAAGAAGGGAGTTGTTCCTTGACGCAATTTTACTGAATAGTTTACTGAGGAATACATACACGGCTAAAAACGCACAGGTTGTTGCAAGTTGATATCGACAGGCGTGAACACTGTTGTGCGACCAACTATGAACAAGTTGTCAACCATGTTGTTCCGAGTTGTTACAGTTGAACAATGCTGCAACAACATGTTGACAATACTGTTCATAGTGGGCCGCACAACATTGTTCACGCCTGTCGCCGATATCAACATGCAACAAGTTGCTGATTTTCTCAATTTTTACGCGTGTACTTAACATTAGACGTAAAAACGTTTTACTGCATCCAGATAAAATAAGCTTATAAAAAAAACCTTCCTCCATACACTATTATAAGCCTTCTTAAAATCAATAAAGCAAGCAAAAATTGGTTTTCGTTTTAGCCTATAACAGTCCATCAAGGTTTTCAAAACTAATATATGATCTGCTGTCCGAACAGTCCGATGTCTATTTCTATGACCTATTTGGCAGTTATTCGATATTCTTAATTTTCCCAAACAGTTACCGATGCATGATTCTTCTATAGTTATTCGGATCAGCAGTATCACCTGATTTGTGATCGGTACAATAAAACTTTTAGTCCATGATGATGGAAAAATCCCGTGGGATAAAATTGTTTTAAATAACTTGGTGAAATAATATGGTAAAGTTTTAGTTAGTGAATCAATAGCACTGCCACTGGTCTTTTTGTTCTTTAACTTGTTTGTTAGTCTATATATACAATTCATGAACAGAAATTGGTTTATCAAGTGTGTCCTTTCTACATATCGCCCAACGATTATCATCTTTAACAATTTCAGCTTCATAATTATTCTTTTCACTATGAATGTTTATCATGTATAAATTTTTAAAATAGTCAAACCATTCAGAGGGTTGTATTTCATTTGATATTGTAGGCGATTGTTTTGCCTTGATTAAGTTAACTAAATTTCAAAATTCTTTAGGATTACTACTTGATAGGTTTTCAATTTTATCTAATACACTACTATGAAATTGTCGTTTGAGTCTTTTTATTAACCTCTTATACTCGTTTCTTTTGGTGAAAAATGTATGACGTAAAAACGGATCTGAGGGATAGTTTGCTGGTAAACTACCCAAGTTCGGTAAATTCCTTTTAAATGTATGACAATCTTTATTAATTAAACCACTTTTGTTTTGGTTTATTAATCTTACTGTTTTTACTGGTTAGTTTCTTTTGTTTCATGACCAAAACTGCTTTAGCAGAATCACGTAATATTTCTGTGAAATTATTACAAGCACATTAACATCACTTGGTTTGTTTTCTGGTTCTTGAAAAAACAGTGCATGCATTTAATTTGTTCTTAACTTCCTCTGAATTCATAACATTTTGTAATATTATTTCTTTATGATTTTCATTCCACTAAAAGATATTGGATGGGAAGATAATTTCATAGCATCATTCAGACGTTGAGGAAATTCTATTCTCAACATGAGGGAAAGACAACTCTGTTGGGTTAGAAAAAACTCTGTTGGGTCATCTATCAGGAAACTATGTATGAAAGGAAACATGCAAGTCATGCGAAACAATAGCATAGTCCACAACACTTGCACCATTGTACATAGTATATATTACAAGTGAACTGGCCAATCAAATCACCTTTGGTTCTACCATTTAAGGGAATCAAACTATTTCCAATATATCATAAATCAACTATAGATCTTCCATACAGATTTACATGTGTATCTCTCAAAAGTCGTTTAGTTGACGAAAACTGGGATTAGATGTTCTATGTTTGAAAAAGGATCATCAATAATAAAATCTTCTAGGTTACCTATCCTGGCATTAAGGTCACCACATAACATGCAGAACTTTTCCATGAGCAGAAAATTTGTATAAGTACTATTCTGAAGGTGTTTTCGAAATGATCAATGTCTAGTCGAATTTCTCGTGAAAAATTTGGAGTTGTATGGTTACTTTGAATGAGTGCATTTAAAATGTTTATCATGTTCTTTAGCTGCTCTTGAATAACCCTATCTAGTCTATCACATAAATGATAAATTGCAAAAATTGCAAAATTGGGCAGCGAGGGTCATCACGAAATCTCGATATGATGCTAGTTCCAGCGACCTTTTTAGTAAGCTGGGCTGGGATAATCTTTTACTGTCATTCCAATTGAAGTGTTCCTCAAATATTGATTCAATACATTACCTCGGGCTGACCAATTCATTTGATCAAGTTCCTCGAAATATTCATACACTTCCTAGTATAATTGTAAACTTCCTGTTGAATAGTTTGAATGCACCAATCACCTTTGTTGTTTGTGCAACTAACCAATCATAAATAGAAAGGAAGTGACCAGAAATGATCAAATTCTTGGAATTGGCTCTTTCACAGGAAGTGTATGAATATCTCGAGGAACTTGATGAAATGAATAGGTCAGCCTGAGGTAATGTATTAAATCAATATTTGAGGAACACTTCAATTGGAACGACAGTAACACGTCGGAAAAAGCATAAAGCTATACTGATGTTTAAAACAATTAACGAATTAACTAACTCCGCATTATCTCCGTGAATTGTTTGAATCTCGCAGCACAGGATATAATTAAGAAACTCTGGACACACCTTGTTTGTGCCAAAACCACGAACTAACTACAGTAAACGAAGTTTTTAGTTATAGCGGGGAAGTGATGTGGAACGAGTTACCGCAAAATGTACGAGCAACATGCTCTCTCTAAGTCAATTCAAAAGAGCAATTGACAATCAGCTGTTCGCTATATAAATCAGTATTTTAGTGTTTGCATAAGTTTAAAGTGTGTTAAGAGGAGATTTTTTTGTATGTCACGTAACAAGCGCTCAAAACTAATGCGTATATTATACCACTTGAAGTTATGACTAAATTCAAAATTTCTATTTTTCGATACGTTTCTCAATTGGCAAACAAACTTAAAAAGTATGTTTAGTGCTTTATCTGTAAAATAATGCTAAAATGACGAGATTTTAGATGACACGCCAAAGAGAAAATGATGTCTGAAGTTCAGTAAGTTTTGCTTATATGGCTGTAACCTGAGTATCAGGCCCTTATGTTTTCATTCGCCAGGATTAATTGGCGGCGGCGAATGAAGGAGGGCCTGATACAATTCTTTACCGCGGCGCATGTAAACTAAGCCAGATTCTGGCTTTTTCGTCTGATTATATTGGCAGATTAGACAAACGATTTTTTAAATCTGTCATTTGATTGGCTGGTGCTAATTAGATTATACTATTGTTGTTGATATATTTTATAACGATCACAACTACAATTATAGCAGGCCCACTAAACGGCTGAATTTAAATTAAAAGTGCAGTAAAATTAGAAAATAATCGCAAATTAGCGAAATATGTTGCAAATGTAGCTTATATTAAATCGCCATCAGATTGCACTATCGACTAACTGACGTATAGTTATAAAGTACACTTAATATATATATATATATATATATATATATATATATATATATATATATATATATATATATATATATATATATATATATATATATATATATATATATATATATATATATATATGCTGCTGAGGCGACCAGTAAGAGACTTGTTTTTCGAAGTTGTATCTGGTCTAGTTAAAATATTTAAAAAAGTTCTAAGTTAAAAATATGTACTGAATTTTCGGCTGCTAACTGCAACCTTCTTCGGAGTTCTATACTGAGGCGGAGCTGACAGAACATTATATAGTGTCATTATCGTTGCATGACTGCACTAATGGCATGTAAATTGATGGAAATAATTTATGTTCATTTGTTGATCTTTTGTCCAACACCAGGGTGAAGGGAGAGAGGGCGTAGAAACGGCCATACAGCGAGCGGACCCATCCGTGATGCGGGCTTCGCGGGGGGTAAGACGTTCTAATTGTAAACAAATATGGCTACGCGTATATGACCGATCAGAAGGTATGCTGAAACTATTGCTTTATAAAATATTACTTGTGTAAAATTTATATGTTTTTGTTACTTTCAGCTATTATAAGAAACTTAAAGATAAGATTTAAGTAACGAAAAACTTTATTTCGGGTGTTATTTTAATTCTATACTCTGTTTAATTTGGTGGTTAAAAATGGCCGTCGAAATGTTGTAAGAGAGTGTTAGCGCGCACTGCTTCCTGATAAAAAACCAATGATTTCCAAAACCTAAATTATAATTTGTTATTAAGTTAACGTTATGATGAAAACCTTTGCGTATATACAAAATTATAAGGTGAGCAAACATGAGACAGATAGGTTTTGAACCTTTCAAAGTTCGAGGTCGAATTGACAGTTGAAATAGTACCAAACTCCAAGCTGAAATGTGCAACTAAATCGTGTATATTTTTGTCAATTTTGTTCGCTGGCTTTGTTAAATTCACTTGCAATGGCTCGACATAAGTTACAACATACAAACTGAGCAGAGCCCATGAAAGAGCTATCCATAGTCCATACCCATACAGTCATTCAGCTTCCTTGCTATTTAGAAATGGTTGCCCATTAGTTGAAGAAGAATTGCTATTGTATGCGCTTGTTTGCACTTCCTTTTCTGAAAAAAGTCTACAATATTAAGGCTAAATAGCAGAAAAATATGACCCAATAATCCATGCAATTAAAAATATCTATCAAATTAACTTCAAAAATCATGATTTGAGGAATTATATCTATTCAGGCAATCAACCTATAATTTAGTGACAGATCTTGGGATTGGTGTACTACAAAACTATATTGACTGAAGTTTTGGAAAAATTTAGCCAACTTTTGAAGGATTTTATTAGGTCCAGTTCACATGAGACTGGAACGAAGTCAATTAACCGGGACCATTTCGTTTTGGTCATTATATTATATATAATAGATGTTTACATGAGGTCTCAAGTCATTCCGCCTGCTGGACGAAGCCGACAGACTCTCACACCAGTATGAATTCAGACTGGAATGAATGTTGACATTTTTACGCGTGTAGGTGGGATGAATTTTTCCCTTTTGGGCATGCGTAAATGCCTTTATTGCAACAAAAATATGACGTCAAGCACCGAATGGTTTCATCCTGACAATGTATTTTGTCCATATAAACACTAGGCGAGTATCCTGTCTTGGCGGGATGAAAACATCCTGTACCGTCTAGGCGGGATCATATAAACAGGCCCTAAGGAATTGAAGGATTTTATAAGTGAGCAATGCTTAAAAGCAAGATATATATAAACAATGAAAGAAATGGCACTAACAGAGCCACAACTTATCCAGAAACTGAATCACAGTTTGCGAGCCAATCTTTCAAAATTTAGTTAAATGTTTCCAAAACTTCAGTCAACATAGTTTTGTAGTACACCCATCTTAAAGGTTCCTTTCAGCTTACCAAGACCTGTCACTAAATTATGGGTTGCCTGAATAGATATAATTCCTCAAATCATGATTTTTGAAGTTAATTTGATAGATATTTTTAATTGCATGGATTATTGGCTCATATTTCTCTGCTATTTAGCCTTAATATTGTAGCCTTTTTCAGGAAAGGAAGTGCAAACAAGCGCATACAATAGAAATTCTTCTTCAACTATTAATGGGCAACCACTTCTAAATAGCAAGGAAGTTGCATGACTGTAGGGATATGGATAGCTTTTTCATGGGCTCTGCTCAGTTTGTATGTTGTAACTTATGTCGAGCTATTGCAAGTGAATTTAACAAAGGCCAGTGAACAAAATTGACAAAAATATACATGATAAAGTTGCACATTTCAGCTTGGAGTTTGGTACTATTTCAACTGTCAATTCGACCTCGAACTTTGAAAGGTTCAAAACCTATTTGTCTCATGTTTGCTCACTCTATAATTTTGTCAACGCAAAGGTTTTCATCATAACTTAATAACAAACTATAATTTAGGTTTTGGAAATCATTGGTTTTTTATCAGGAAGCAGTGCGCGCTAACACTCTCTTACAACATTTCGACGGCCATTTTTAACCACCAAATTAAACAGAGTATAGAAATAAAATAACACCCGAAATAAAGTTTTTCGTTACTTAAATCTTATCTTTAAGTTTCTTATAATAGCTGAAAGTAACAAAAACATATAAATTTTACACAAGTAATATTTTATGAAGCAATAGTCTCAGCATACCTTCTGATGGGTCATATACGCGTAGCCATATTTGTTTACAATTAGAACGTCTTACCCCCCGCGAAGCCCGCATCACGGATGGGTCCGCTCGATGTATGGCCGTTTCTACGCCCTCTCTCCCTTCGCCCTGGTCTAAAGCCACTCGCGCTGCGCGCTCGTGGCTGTAAACCTAATAAAACACTCCTGCTTGTTTTTTAAATAGTACATCAACATTAATTATGAAGTTATGAAGCTTACCACGTATTCGACATATTTTATGATTCCCATGTCAATGAATACACATCTGATCTTTACGAAACATTATAGACATAGTTTTATTTTGAAACGACCGCCATCTTTGCAGTAACAGTAACAGTACTTCATTTTGCACGGATATAAAGTATTTCAAACTCCTGATTAATTTTCTGACTGCTATTTGCATTCATACAACGGCATTCTCGCACAATTTTGTATTATGGCAAATATAAAACTAAAGCAGATATAAAATATCTCCAGATGTCGTAAATCCACTGATAAGCGCCACGTGAGGCAGGGAGGGGGAGGGGTGATAATATAGAGAGCGAAGGAGGTTCGTAGTGTAACAGCCCTTCGTGCAACTGTAATCGCCCGACAATTATCAACTGTACTTGCAACTACAACACAATCAAAATTTTAAGGAATTACAAGTTACATTGAAAATAATTTATTCTGAAAAAACAGTTGTCAATGTAAGACTGTCGTTTCATCGTTAGAATGCTGAGTAACGTGCAACCAATCTACTGTTTTATGGTCTTTGATATCTGGACGCTCTAGTCTTGGTATTGCCAAGTCTCCTGAATACCATGATAGCTGTTTCATAATTCTTCTCATTCTTATTTCTTCTTCTGAAAGCCCTCTTTGATATTTCTACATGGTGACGTGGAATATAGTTAGGATTGACTGATAGGCATTGAGGGACAACCGAGAGTCACAGTAGCTGTTGCAGGCAACGTCCTCACGTCTCGCCGCTCATTATTTCCTAACAGCAATCCTGAACCTTATCCTAACTAACGAGGCCATAACTCAATCCAATGACGGTTATACGGTTATACCTTAGAAATCCTCACCCTGACCGTAACCCTAACCCTAACCCTAACCGGTAACTAAATGCATTACAACTGGTATATTCCAATCTAGAACTTTTCACTGATTTTTCACTATATACGAAAGTTGGGGTCGCTCCGAGCTTCTTCGAAACCGGCCAACTTTTACAGGCAAGTTGTCTTGCAACTTTCCCATATTAACCTTCTTTGTTCAATGCTGATTGAATAGCAGGATAACATTAAAGGTTTGGTACGGAGTTACAATATTAATATATATATATATATATATATATATATATATATATATATATATATATATATATATATATATATATATATATATATATATATATATATATATATATATATATATATATATATATGTTATTCAGAATTTATTTGTTACAAATTGGTTAAAACGGTTAGTTCTTACGATTGTTTGGACATTGTTTAATCTGCTTGACAGCGATCGACGTAATGAATACGAATGGGTGATGGTAGGTTGAACTTCGTAATTAGCGTTAATGATCTTAGACAACAGAGAGCTTGACTTTTGTTGTTGAGCCATGAAGTATTCACAAATATGATCTCTGCGATTAGATAACTGAAGCAGTTTAGAGGACACTAAGGCTTGAAAATAGTCAAGGTCTGGAAATAATATTTTTAATGCCCTTCGTTGAACGGATTCAATATCATCGGATAGGTACTGCGGTAAGTTGGCCCAAACGATACTCAAGCACCGATCGAATAAGAGAAATGTAAATGAGAACCAGGTCTTTATCTGATATGCCAGCAATTTTCAATTGTATCAATATATATAACAGTTTGAAACCTTTCAGTAGTAAAGCCCCCCACTATGGAGTTCAAAGGGATGCCGCTAATGACGTCACTTTACTCAGCTAGCACTCTAGCAACGGAAGTAATTAGTATGCAAAATCTATGTCACTCGGGCAGGCCTGGGCCGAATGTGACAGGTAGCGCGACCAATTAACGCGGGCAAGCCTGGGCCAAATGTGGCAGGCAACAACTAGCATTACAACTAGTTTCTGACAAATTTGTAATAAAACGACGAGAGGTTTCTCATAGTTTGCATGTGTAAATGTATGAAATAGAATTTAGTTTTTAAAATCTGCTGTTAGCTCAGTTGGTAGAGCAAAGGATTGTAGTTATTATCAAATCAGTATTCCTTAGGCCTGCCGCACACGAGAGCTATCTGCTGAGCAAAAAGTTACTCGTGCCTGTTAGCTCAGCCGATAGCTCACCGTGTGCGGGTACATTTTACTGAGTTTTTTGCCTCATGCAACCTTTTCTCACGTATCAAACATGTTTGATCGGTGAGCTATGGGCTGAGCTAACAGGCACGAGTAACTTTTGGCTCAGCTGATAGCTCTCGTATGCGGCAGGCTTAAGGTCACCGGTTCGAACCCGGTACGGTAGAAATTTTTTTGCCTTACAACCATGTAGCAACGTTGTGAGTCCCTCTCTTATTTTCAACACGCAATTGAAATTCGTTTTAATTTTTTAATGAATTTGATGGCTCGTTTTGAGCAATAAGTTTCCAAACAGAAATAAAAAATATCGCAACAGAAATAAGCAGTTGCTAATCCCGGGATTGTCAAAGCCGTTTTTATGATCGCTATTTGCATGTTGTTCAACATTATTTAGCAAACCTACATACATATATACGGTCAAAATGACCGAGTCAGATAGAATACTTGAAGGAAAAAACCTGTAGAACAATTTAACAGTCTTAGTTGTAATATTTTTGTCTATTATTAATTGTATCAATAAACATGTTTTAAACTTTGCTGCGTTGTTATGCGTTGCTAAGTCATTAGGAGGCGTGTAGGTAATTAAGGGGATTAAGGTAATACGAATTTGCATAACTAAGTGTATTCCGATGGATAGATAGGGATTATTTAACGCCGGTGTATACATTAAAATCAGGCGCGTGGCTTTGCGGGTACATGCATATATTAAAGTACAACATATTTGTACACGGATCTTTTCGCGCGGGCGGAAAGAGCGGGCTTTGCGGGCAAAAATTTGCACAATATTTCAGTTTTAGAATACATTTATTTCTTCAAAATGTTTTACAAAATTTAGTAAGGTCTACTTCTAAGAGCGTAACGTCTAGGTGTTTTTGTTATTTTTAAAGAGTTCTCGTATTCTTGTCTATCTTCTGGGGATAACTTTGCAAGTTTTTCTGGCTTCATTGGAATATATTTTGGTCGGTCGCTCAATATAAAACGTTCATAATCCTCTCTTGCTTCCGGAGTCATTCGCACTAGGTCAGGTTCGGTCCAATCTGCTGGGTCTTTTATTTGCCCATTTTTGGTGTGAACTCCACTCCACCCGTCTTGGTGTTAGACGTAACATACGAACATAGCTCGCAGAAACCAATGACATGTGAAAACAGCAGAGGTGACTGTTCATCACATATCATACATTTGGCGTCTTTTCCCCAGTAGAAATCTTTCCACGAACATCTTGGGCACTTCATTAGGTATACAATGTGACCAGTCTCTTCTCCACAATGGTTACAAGCTAGTTTCTCGGGATCACCATCCCCCTCATTGTCATCGTCCTCATTATCATCGTATTCGCTTTCATTATCACTCGTGTCAGATTCCCTGTTCTCTTTACCAGATTCGCTTTCAACATCACTCTCAGATTGTGGCATTTCATGTTCCTCCTTTGCCATTTTTGACAATAGATACTCGTTTTTAATTAAATCTCTATTAACCCCTGCTTCTACTAGACCTTTTGTAAACAGGTCGAGCCCTCGTGGTTCAGGAATGTGAGAGTTGTATGGTAAAAGTGCGTATTGTAAAAAGTTCTCGATGTTAGTACCAGGAATGTCTCTTCCATGATAAACAATCTTACCCTGAGGATTCCAAGTTAAAATATCACTTGATATAAGAATAGAATGTAGCATTTTTTCTCCTGTAGTTTTTTTGACATTATTGTTCAGATACAAAAGCATATCTTCAATGCGCCAATGTCGCGGAGATGTTTACTCTCGATGTTCATTGTTGAAATGATGTATAAATTGAAGTCACGGGGATTTATACAAATTCAGCCAGGCTTTCCAAAATAGGACTTAATAATAGTCCAAGGAAACCTTCACCATGTTGAACGAGTATCCGTTTTTTTCTTCTTCCACATTTTCCTCTATCAACCAAGTTAAGCATTTCATCTTTGTAAGGTCGGAGTTTCTTCATTACATGCTTCGGCATTAAATATTTTCTTTTCATAACGTTTTCTACACAGAGACACAGGCAGTGTACTTGCTCGGCGGTTGCTGTTTCCAGTAGTGCTTGTTGTTGATCAGGCTCAGACGTGCCCAACAATTCAAGAAATGGCTTGTGCCTTAGAATATTGATCATTTCTGTTCGACGGTTTGGAAGCCAATGAGTAAAAGACAACAATAAGGAAGCTTATATCGTAAGAGAGAAAGCAATTTATACAAGGCTCCGAGCTATTGAGAGCTCGACTCTGAGCTTATCGAACTTGGCTCCTTGTGCATGTCAGATAAGGAAGATAAGAGGATAAATATAAGGACGATAAGGATAAAGATAAGAGGATAAATATAAGGAAGATAAGGATAAGGAAGATAAGGATAAGGAAGATAAGAAGATAAAGATAAGAAGTAAGGATAAAGATAAAGATAAAGAAGATAAAGATAAAGATAAGAAGATAAAGATAAAGATAAAGATAAGAAGATAAAGATAAGGATACAGATAAGAAGATAAGGATAAAGATAAGGAAGATAAAGATAAGGATAAGGATAAAGATAAGAAGATAAAGATAAAGATAAGGAAGATAAGGAAGATAAAGATAAAGATAAAGATAAGGAAGACAAAGATAAGGAAGATAAAGATAAGGAACATAAAGATTAAGATAAGGATAAAGATAAGGAAGATAAAGATAAGGATAAAGATAAAGATAAGGATAAGGATAAACATAAGAAGATAAAGATAACGAAGATATAAGGAAGATAAAGATAAGGATAAGGAACATAAAGATTAAGATAAGGATAAAGATAAGGAAGATAAAGATAAGTATAAATACAAGAAGATAAAGAAAAGGATAAGGAACATAAAGATTAAGATAAAGATAAGGAAGATAAGGATAAAAATAAGGAACATTAAGATTAAGATAAGGATAAAGAAAAGGAAGATAAAGATAAGGATAAAGATAAGAAGATAAAGATAAAGATAAGGAAGATAAAGATAAGGAAGATAGATATAAGGAAGATAGATATAAGGAAGATAAAGATAAGGAAGATAAAGATAAGGATAAAGAAGATAAAGATAAGGAAGATAAAGATAAGGATAAAGATAAGGAAGATAATGATAAGGATAAAGATAAAGAAGATAAAGATAAGGAAGATAAGGATAAAGATAAGGATAAGGATAAGAAGATAAAGATAAAGAATATAAGGAAGAAAAAGATAAAGATAAAGATAAGGAAGATAAAAATACAGAATAATACTGGATAGATGCATTAATGAATATATAGAACGAATACGCCAACTTATTATCACTTCATGCTAGACGTTCGTGGTGTGAACATGTCCTTTCCGTGCAATTTATGTGCCAAAGTATTTTCAACACGCGGCAACCTCAAGCGTCATACTTTGAATACCCATGGAGATGTTCAAAGCAAACCAGTTGAAATCTCAGCAGGATCTACAGTTTTGCAGCATCCTTTCACATGTTTCGTAGCTGGGTGTACCCAAAGCGGCAAGACTGTATGGGTAAAATCTCTCTTGGAGAATGCACAGAAAACTATAAGTCCACCTCCTCAACGTATCATTTG